CGCCCTGCTGCACACAGCACTGTCACCGCCGGCATGACCAAAGCCGAGTTTCTACACAGTGTTCCACACTTTGCCCTTCCTTGTGTCTCCAACGCCTGGCATAGAGCTGCTTTTACGGTGTGAGCACAGCAAGCGCTCACAATGTGCTGAACAAACTGACATGTAGCAGGCAACTATAACGTCTATGGCCGCATCTAGACCCAGCCCAGGGTCGCCAGAGCTGCCGCACTGTGATCTAAGTGAGCAACACTTCTAACGGCTGATTTCCCCATCACCCAGGCAGGCCCACAAAGAGGGCGCGAGCACTCCGTGCCGGGGCAGTACCTTTCCTGTGGCATAGCTCCACAGCCCCACGGTGTGGGCAATGTTCGAGTCTATCTGCGCCCGGTCACAGCAGCCTTCGATCCTCTGCAGCACCTCCAGACAGCTCAGAAACACCCAGCAGTCTAGAGCCCCGGGCGGGACGGAGACCTGAGGGCACAAGAGCGGTGTGTGAGAGCACACTGGGAAAAGCACAAGCCAGCGCTCCAGCTTGCACGTTCAACACGCTCAGCCCCCTCGCGCAGCTACCCAATCAAATGGTGCTGTCGTCTCAAAAGCTACAGAAAATAAAGAGGGGCAGAGGACAATAATTACCTGGGTCCACATGGAGAGAGAAAAGGAGTGATCTATACCCAAACGTTATTGGGTTTTATGTATTTGATGGTAACGAGCAACTTAGCAGGATATAACCTTCAATTACGTATTTTAAAAACCTTATTGAGAAAAAGAAGCCTATAAAAGATCAAATACCATCACTTACTCTGAGAGCGAGAACTGGTTACATCTCAGTCTGAAGGGGAGATAGGGAGGGAGAAACTAAGACCTCAGATGACTGCTTGGTCACATTCAAGAAATATTGTGGCCGGGAACAGTGGCTCACGCCCGTAATCCTAACGCTTGGGAAGGTTGCAGTGGGAGGATCGCTTGAGGTCAGGAGTTTGAAACCAGCCTGGGCAACATAGTGAGACCCTGTCTCTGCTAAAAATGTTTTGAAAAATTAGCTACTAGGGAGGCTGAGGCAGGAGGATCACTTGTGCCCAGGAGTTCAAGGCTGCAGTGAGCTATGACGACACCGTGGCACTCCAGCCTGGGTGACAGAGCAAAACCCTGTCTCTAAAAAAAAAAAAAAAAAAAAAAATTAAATAAAGACAAAAGAAACATCACGTTCAACAGCAGAAACTAAATACTGAGTAGATATTAGATGATATTTAAGAATTACAGTTAATATTTTTAGGTGTGATAAAGGCAGTATGATTACATTTATTAAAAGAGTTCCTATTGCTTACACACTGAAATATTTACAGATAAAATGTGATGTTCGGGATTTGTGTGAAAAATAATCCAGGGGGAGCAGACAGGGATGTAGATGAAACAGAGATGGGCGACTGCTGTCTGCTGATGGACACCTACGGGTTCATGGTATCCTCTCCACTCTTGCACATATTTGAGCTTTTAGATTTAAAAAGAAATGTTTTATTACTAGAAATGCAAAAGCAACTAATATATATAATCAATTCTACACCTAATACATATATAATCAATTCTAAGATGCATGTTTTCCCCACATTTTAGCATCTTTGAAATAGGAATGTCTCTCTCAATCAATGGCATCTTACATTTACAATAATTGGCAATGCTGACGACTTTTTTCTTGGTGGCACTAATTTCATGACATATCTTTGTTTTGGTGAAACATGTTAACTGGTACTATTCGAAACGAGAACTGAAGAGGTATTCCCGCACCAGCCCACAGGTGAGGAGCTGCATGTGCCCAGGACACTGACTTAGGGAAGGCGTCTTCAAGACACCCTGAGCACAAGTAACAGGAGAGGGTCTGGAACCAACTAGTAAGGACCAAAGAATGCCATAAATGTTTCTACAAAAGCTAAGTAGGCACGATTTTTTAAAAATGAGATAAACTAATTAAAATCCTTTGAAAAAAAATCAGCATAAAAAGAAGCCGCAGGCCGGGCACGGTGGCTCACGCCTGTAATCCTAGCACTCTGGGAGGCCGAGGCAGGTGGAGTGTTTGAGCTCAGGAGTTCGAGACCAGCCTAAGCAAGAGCAAGACCCCGTCTCTACTAAAAAAATAGAAAGAAATTATCTGGACAACTAAAAATATATAGAAAAAAATTAGCCGGGTGTGGTGGCGCATGCCTGTAGTCCCACCTACTCGTGAGGCTGAGGCAGTAGGATAGCTGGAGCCCAGGAGTTTGAGGTTGCTGTGAGCTAGGTTAATGCCACGGCACTCTAGCCAGGGCAACAGAGTGAGACTCTGTCTCAAAAAAAAAAAAAAAAAAGAAGCCACATGATAAGAAGCTGCTTTTATAAAGTCATACAACTTTCTCACCCAAACAGATCACACCAAAGGGAGCACAGAAGAGTTAGTCAGCTGGACGCAGCTTTGAGATCCTGGGCAGCATCCTTACCAATCAAACCAGAGCGCGCCCAGAGTGGCTGACCGCACTGTGCACGGTTCGAGATGCCTGGTGGTCTGGGTACTTTTCACCTCCCAAGACACTACCACCACAGGTACTAACTCTGAAACTTCCTATAAACGTGCCACCTCCCCTGGGCACACACTGGTGATAAAAAGACCTCATGGGAGATTCTGAAAGACTCATACAAAGGAGGATTATACACAGTGCTCTAGGGTAAGATGAACCCACAGAGAGGGAAGGGAAAGCACTCAAGTCAGGGCAGAGGAGCCGGCAGAGGGTGCCAGGGCAAAAGTGGCCGGGCACACGAGGGCGGCTCCACACGCAGAGCACCTGTGCCTCGGTGGCTGGGCCGCTCTCCAAAACCAAGTAAGTGAAATATGACAACAGCAGAGGATAAGAGCAACATGACAGACGCCACAGACGCGCACTCAGGAAAAGCCCAGAAAGATATGCACCAAAATGTGAACAGTAGTATTAATTATTATGTGGCAAGACTACAGAACAGATGCTTCCTTGGTATATTTATTTTCTGCAAAGACCAAGCACCACTTTGGTAGATGTGAACGACAGTGTTTAAAAAGTAGCAGCGTCAGGCAGCAGCAGCATTGCTCAGAGTCAGAAAAACAAAATCCAGCGGCAGCCACTGGCCGCTGCTCAAGTTTCCACTTCAACTTCCAACCTGGAAGAGGCGGGAGAGGGCAGGCGGGTCCCTCACTCCGACACAAACACACAACCAAGAACAAATGCAGGGTTTTCTTTCAATAACTGAACCGGAAGGCTCCCAGTCAGTCTGCCAGGTAACCCCAGCCACTGCTCCCTCTGGGAACTCCCAGCATTCGCGTGAGTGTGCCCTGGGCACTGCTCTGGCTTCTACCACAGCTCTTCTCAGTAGCTCGTTACTAGTTCTAGTGCCTGTTTTCAGACAGCACTGCAGCTTCCTACGTTCCCTATCACACGTCATTTTAAGATTTCATTGAAAAAAACACATGCATATTAATCTGGCACATGTAAAGTGTGGAGTGTCACCTCAAGGTGACATCACTTCCTACCGTGTGTGCCCCTCTCAGCTCCCAACCAACCCTCAACCCAGCACCCCAAAGGGGGCCAGGCCTCCTGTTCCTTCTCTGCCCATTTCGAAGGCCTAACAGAGGGGGCTCCGTGGCAGCCAGACCTTCAGCAGCAGGTGATCTGAGACTTTCAGAAATTTAAATGAAACAAATTTATTTAAAATATAATTGTAGTGGTAGTTTTTTCATTACTTTAAAAAAAATAAGTAGGAAAATACACACAGTGAGGTACATAAGGGGCATAAATCCTAAATTCAGAGGTCAATAAATTTTTTCATCTGTAACTACCACCCAATCAAGAAGTAAAATATCTCCACTATCCTAGAAGGTTCTCTGTGCCCCTCTTCCCAGTCAAGACCCACCCCAAACAAGCACCCCATTCTCACTTCCATAACCACCAATTACGTCTGCCGGATTTCTCAACTTCACATAAACGGAAGGAATCCCACAGTATGCATCCTCTTTTATATATAAGGCGTCTTTCGTTCAAATCAGTATTTTCAAGATTCAGCCTCACCGAGGCTATCAGCAGCTTGTTCTCTCTTACTGCCGTGTGGCACGCCCTTCTCTGAATAGGCCACAATTTATTACCCATTCCCCTGCTACATGTCTGGGTTGTTTCCAGCATTTGGCTACTGTGGATAAAGCCATTTGCAACGCCACCCCAACCGCAAGTGGGGAACCCTTCCAGGACACAGAAGCCCTCCTTAGCCCCCTGTGCGGCAGCCTCCACGGAGGACACGGGCAGCCTCAGAGCTCCTCTTCCACAGGACTCCCTGCTGCAGAGATGCGAGAGCTCAGGTGAAGGGGCAGAGGTGGCACTGGGCAGTACAGGGCCACTCTGGCATGGCGGGCTGTGGGCCCAAAGGAGCCACTCTCTCCTCTAATAGCTGCTGGGCCACAGCCAGGACAGTCCCAAGAGCTGCCACCCCGAGGGGGCCCAGAGCAGGGCCTCGCCATCAGGTATTCACACACGCAATCCACTAATCAAGGGTGATTTTACCATAAGCCACGGTGCCTAGTGACACAGCTGTGCCCACTTGCTCTGTTCTCAGGGAAACAAAGCTAGGAAATTCACCGAAGTCGGACTGTCCCACAGTCATCTTTCTTTCTTGGGTACGTACCTATGTGTGGACTTGCTAGGTCACAGGGTAGGTGTGTTGACGCTTTAGGATACACTACCAAAGACTTTCAAAGTGGTCGCACAAAGTTACACTTCCATCAACACATTTGAGTTCCAATCTTCCTATTCTTACTATCACTTGGAATCGTCCGTCCTTTTTATAATAGAATCTTATTTTATCCATTATGGTGGAGCTTCAGAATAAAAGAAAACATCCCACAAACTCTGGAAAAGTGTGATTGTCCTGCAGCCATGGTCGTAAGCCATCCAAAGGAGCATCAGCCCCTCACTCCTGAAAGGCAGCTGACGTGGAATGCCACGTCTCCGCCAACACGCAAGAGGGCCACACAGCAACGCTGTCTCACCAGGAGCCACACTTCTGCAGGCGGTGTCCACCACCCACAAACGCCACGCCACCCAAATCTGTAGAGACTGCGTCTGCTCTGCTCCGAGGGCCCGTGACCGACCAACAGAGCTCTGTCATCTCACTGGGCAACTGGGCGGTGGTCTCATCCTCTCTTGACAATTCCCATTTCCCTGGTGAGAAACGACACTGATACCACCACACACTTCTTGGCCACTCAGATATCACCTTTTGTGAGTAACAGACTCTTTAAACTAATTTCTTAATATATATTCCTCAATTTTCTTAAAGCTCCTTCTCCTCTCCTGATTCCTGTATTATTAGTAATGGCAAGAGCCATTTTACCATTTTTCAAGCATAAAATCAAAGGCATTCTTCTTATTCTTTGTTCTGATAAACCTACCTTTAAACATAACCCACCTACTGGAAAGTACGAGAGTCCTAATGATCCCAGCACGCCCACCCTGGTCAGAGAGTCAGAGTGGCAGCAGCTGCGGAGCCCCACGCCAGCCGCTGGCCTTCCACAAACGAGTCACCAGGCAGGCGCACAACAGACTGGTTTTGCTTAATTTTGAACTTCATATGTGAAGAATCAAAAAGTACACACTGCGTCTGACTTCTCCAGCTCAACCATGTATGTGCTAGTGAGATTCACCCGCTGCGGCTCGCTTGCGCTCACTGCTGTCTGCCACGCCGCTGTGTGGACACACAGAGCAAGGCCATCCCTCGCACACGGTGGACATCTGGGTTCTTCCCAGTTTCCAGCTATGACAACTCATGGTGCCACAAGCGTTTCTGTACTTGCTTTTGGTGCACGTTTCTGTACGTGCCGGGGAGGATCTGCTGGGTCACAGCACATGTACATGTCCCATTCCATCTGGTGTCACCAAACAACTTTCCAAAGCGGTTGCACCAATTACCACTGTCATCACCAAATGAGCCCCAATTCCTCCGCCCTCCGGCCAGCCCCCAGGAAAGTGCCCCAGGAAAGCATCTCCGCCAGCCACGCCGGTGCACGTGCACTGGGTCTTTCACGGAGCGCCTGGCTTGCATGTCACTGCGATTATGAGATTAAGCACCTTTTCATATGCTTACTGCCCACCTGGACATCCTCTGTTGCCTATTTTTCTATTGATCTGTCAGTCTTTCTTAATCGAGTTATATGAGTTCTTCACACATTCCGGCTAAGAGTCCCCTCTGGACTACGTGCACGGCAAGCGTCGCCGCCCTGCGGCTCGCCTTTCCACTCACTAACAGCGCCTGCTGAAGAGCGCGCTCGGATTCTCAGAGCCCAGCGTATCACTCTCCCTTACAGTGACGCCTTTTACGTACTGCCGACCCTAAAGGTCGTGAAGATATCCCCATGTTATCTTTTCAGGGTGGCTTGTTTTACCTTTCATATTTACATCAAAACTCCACCTGGAATTCACTGTTTAGGACGTGAGATCAAGATGTTTTACATATGGATATCCAGTGGACTCGTCGCCATGTAGTCACTGAATAAATTTTTCTTGAATCCATTTATTTAAAATCTATCCCAACCGCCCTCATTCAGAACTTCATCCTCTTTCCCTTGGACTACAGCAGAAGTTTCTAAACTCTTTTCCTGGCCTCCACCTAACTCTTCACCTCTCTCCGCGCTCGGCCCCGCCAGGTTCCAACGCCTTGTGTGGCATGCCTGCTCCATCCGGCCACGGCTCCTACTAGCTACAGAACAAAAGGCAAAGACCTCCAGATCCTCCCTCTATAACCCACCTCCCAATACTCCTGTACCTCGTCCGCAAGCCTCACCCCGATGGTCTAGCAAGACTAAGCTCCTCAATAAAACCCCTTTCTCTGCCTGAAACATACTGTCCCACTGGCCATCACCAGCCTCATCTACCTGGTGAGTTCTTACTTACCCTACTCATGCCCTAAAATATAAGCTACATAAGGGCAGGGACACAGTCTGTTCTGCTCTCTACTGAAAATACAGTGCCCTCTACAATGCTTGGTACAAAACAGATGCTCAATGAGTATCTGCTGAATGAATTAATCTTTTTAAACTGAGCTCACACAAGACCTCCTCTAGAAACCTTCCCTAGCACCCCATAAATGTTCACTGAGCTGACCTGAGGAGCCCCGCAGAGCAGCCTTTTCCTGTTTATGGTAGCCCTGTGCCCAGACAACGCCTCTGCCACTGCCGAGGCACTGTCCAGACGACCCTCGTGGGTGGCTGGCTCAGTGCACGGGACGACAGGCTGCTGGCTGGTAGGTGGGGCCCGTGTCTTCTCCTCCCGCCCCCATGTTTTCCGCCGTGCCTCCCACCAGGCAAGCAAATGTTTCCCGAATGATGCCTGACAGCTCTCTAGCCCTGTCCAGGGATCCATCAGTTCCCGTGATCCTTCTTCAGCAGCCCCTCCCCCACGTCCCTCCTCTTCCTCCAGGCCATTCCTACCACCCTTCCTGTCCAGGTCCTGGAGACCCAAGGCTGCCAGGAATCTAACAAGTACAGCACAGGTAAGGAGACACCTCCAGCTGTGTGCATCCAGAGAACAGAGGGGAACAGGGAACAGGAAGTGGGTCATTAGAAGAAAAGAGACAGCAAGTGAACAGCGGGTGCAGCGTCCTCACCTGGAATCCGGCATTCAGCTGTGGCCACCTCCTCACAGGGGACACAGAACTAGAAAGCGCAAAGAACTGAAATAAACGTGACTAAGAGTAAGGGGCAGCTTCCACTCAAGGAAAGCGCAAGATGACAATGACAATTTCATTCAGAAAAGAAAAGAGCCAGGAAAAAAACTGCAGCATGGCTTGTTTGAGGCACTGAAATACAAAGCACTGAACACGCCCTCTGCAGACTTCCCACGCCGTGCACGAGAGCCTCGAAGCACCAAGAGCCCCACGCGGCCAACGTGAGCCCCGACACTCCCGAGGGACAAGGGAGGCCACACCATCTATTACTTACACATCTCTTTCCAGCCAGAAGGGTCTTAAGGGACCTACTTGTATTCCTCTCCAAGTGGAGAGAGGCATGCCAGAATTCCGAGACGAGCTGGGAAAGGCTTTAAGAACCTGCTCCACAGCGGGCAAGCTGACAAGAGGAGGTGAGTGTGCTGCCCCACGGGGAACGAGTGGGACACTGTGCCCGCGACTCTCCCCAGCTCCCCTGTGCTGTCTGCAAATGCCCGGCTGAGAGGGCAGCCACAGTGCGGCAGGCACGTAGCGGGCAACACCATCAGGGGAGAAGGAATCGCCTTTCCCAATACATAAGTGACATCTCTGGTTGGCGTCTCAGATCCACCTTCCACACTTTTCCACCCTGCTCTCTGCCGGGGAGACTGTATGTAATAAGCCCATGGGCCCCCTCACCTTCCAGCTTCCAGAAGGCCAGAGGAGGTCAGAGGGGAGAAGATCAGAGGGAAGGAGGACAGGGGAGCGGGTGTGGGTGCCTGTTCCTCACCATCAGGGCACAGCCCATCTCAAGGCTGCCCGCTCTGCGCTCGCCCAGCCTGGCTCTGAGGACTCTTACCCTCCTCTCTGCAGGCTGGCAGCCATGCTATTACTAGTCAATGCTCCCAGGCTAGAAAAATAATTTGGGAAAATTCTTAAATTCTGGATTTGTGACTTGGCTGTGCCCAGCATTAAAGTCCCTGGGTCTGCACCATCCTACACCTGCCCCAAATTGTGCAACAGCACTTTCTAATAAACCCTCCTAGGGTCATCTTAATTTGAAAATGCCGTATCAGAACCCACTTGGACTCTAATACGCACCCCAATTTTTTCTCCCTATCAACGAGTAAGACAAACATCTCTAAGTCGGGTAAAATCTCCAGGTGCACATAAACACAGAGAGCCCCGATCTGCGCAGGAACAGCAACCTCACAGCCTCACCCCAAGGACTGCACAGCAGGGTGCGAACAACCGAAGCAGAATCTCTAAACCTTTGTAGTTACAGGTAACTAAAGGAGTATCATTTCAAGATAGAAAATGTTATTCTCCTCATTTGCTTGAGTAGATACCTAAAGCAAGAAAAATAATTTGATAAAAACTCTTCAGTTCTTAAGTTTATGACTCAGGCTAGGCACTAATGAGATTAGCTCAGAAATAAGAATTTCTCCTTTGGAACTTCAATAATTTCATTTCGGTAAAAAAAAGGTCAAATATGTTAAGATTATTGAAACTAAGTGTTGAGTCTGTTATTTAGTATGCTAGGGTACACAAAAATAAGTTACTATATTATGAAACGGTAGCCCTCCCAATGGTTTGGCTACTGTACTAAATTTATACTCTAAGAGTCCTTAGGAACCCCCTGGGACTTGGGTGGTCTGGACTCTGTGGCTAGTTATATGAGTTTGTGTAAGTCACCAGCCATTTCCAGATTCAGTTCCTTGTTTATAAAATGGAACCAGACCACTCACTTAGGAGCTCTCAATGGGAACAGAGGGCGGGGTGGACACGAATCCTCTGAAATTATATGTGACATTTTGTAAGTGCATACGTGAACTGTTCCGGGTAAAGAGATCACTGAAACAAGGATTGGCAGACTAGAAATGTTCTTTAACGTTCCTTTCCCCCACTAAAATGTTCATGATTCTATCGGCAATAGGAGTTCAGTAGTCCTTGGGTGAATTAATCTTTAAAGGCAACTACTTCACTAACTGGTGTCTCTCACACACCACAGCACATGCACACACGCTTATTTATAACGTATTTTCCATTAAGTTTCATGCTACTAATCGATAGGACATGGCTGGCTGTGTGTCACCCACATGGCTACCTGCATGTCCATGTGCAAAACCATTTATCTGAAAAGATAGTCTTGAAATAAAATAAATGTCCGTGTACAAAACTCATCTGCGTGTCCATCAGATGAATAATTTTTTTCAGTGAGGATGAGCTCACACAGTATAAGCCAAAGTTACCTTAAAAATTATATTAAGAAACTGTGCTAAGAGACTTGCTTTGGACCAACATGAACTTCACCATGTTGAGAGAAGAAATTATATTTTTGAGCAATTCATCAATGTAAAAAGTAATTATGCATATAATATACTAAAAATTAAAGACATTCAGAGAAAGAAAACTCTTTCCTAAGCACAAACAGTTCAATGCCTGGGATATCAAGGTTCAGAGTTTTCTGTTCGAACAATCAAGAAATGGGTAAATTGGGAAAAGAACCGACTCACTTCTAAGAGCTTCAGTTCCTGCACACAGTTGTGCAGCAGCTCTAGGGCGCGCTGAGCCACCTCCCACGGCCTCTGCAGGAAGAGGAGCAAGGTGCACTGGCGAGAGAACAGGTAACTGCGCAGATCTAACAGGGTGGCTTCTTGCCTCTGTATCAATTCCCGCTTCTCCATATCTATGGGCTTTCGAAGGATCAATCCGTTCCAGCTCTTCACCGGCTGGCAGAAAAAAGTCAGCCAGTTGGCACCATCTAAACAAACACACATCATGAAAGGCGCTGACTACGGGTACTTCACCTTACTGAGATTCTTGCTCAGGACTGTAAGGCCTTGTGGACAGACAGGCAGCTCAACAACCGGTACTCTCTGACCACTGCCCCGCCCCCTTTAGTCTAGTGACATTCGCCCATTCAGCTCCCAGCACCTGGTGGCTGAGCACAGGGTAGCGGGACCCAGGCAGCAAAGCACACCGGCTCCCCTTGCCCAGAAAGCCAAGAGCGGAAGCTGAAGCGGTGGGCAAGCCAGCAGAGACCTCAGGCTAGTCTGGGGCTGGAGCGTGGCTGGGCTGCCTTATCTTGCCCATGGGCTGGAGTGCAGCTGTTCGCCTGACCACCCTGGTACTTCTGTCTTCCTGAGACTCCGCATTTTTCCGTACTTATTCCCTACCTGTGTCAAGCTCCTAGAGGGTAGGAGAATAGGCACAGGGAGGACGGAGCAGCAGCAAGGGAAACCCTTGCCTGTCAAAAATCTCAACAGGGATTCCCCAAATTGATCTTGAAATAAACATAAGAACCTACAATAACAAGTCATTAAATCTTTACAGGAAAAGGCTTTCTAATCTATTTTACTCTTTCCAAAAGAGGTATCGTAACCAGTTCACTCTGCGTTCGTATCAGGAAATGACTCAGCATGAGCACATTACGTATCTGCAGTGCCAGCCGCTGCCGACAGCAGCCCTTATAGGGCTGAGCGTCCCCTCCGAGTCCCTGCACCAGCCGCGCCGTCTGCCAGGCCCTGCCCAGGATTCTCCAGGGCACTCCCACGTGTCATCAAGGCCTCTGTGCCAAGGGCACCTCTTCAGGGAGGCCACCCAGCCATCCTGTCTAAAATCCCACGGCACCTCCCTCACTCTAACCCTCACCCACGTCCCTCTCTACTGGCTACGATTGTTACCATCGGACATGAGGTTACACATGTGCTTTTCCGTGCCTGTCTCTCCTTCACGCAAGCTCCAGGAAGGGATTTTGTTTTATTCCTCGCTGTATTTAGAACAGTGCCTGACACACTGTGGGCCTACAATAAGTATTTGTTGAATAAAAGAACAAAAATAATCTTTTCATAATAATGACAAGTCAGCCACAAAACTTGGTCCGGGCTTACTTTTGGCTTTTAAATTGCTCCAGATTTATTTTAAAACTGAGAGGGAAAAAGAAATTATGTGAAATATAGGAAATATATAAGGTCTTTTTTCTTTTTTCAATTTTTTTTTTTTTTTTTTTATAGAGACAGGGACTTGCTCTGTCACCCCGGCTGGAGTGCAGTGGCACAATCACAGCTCACTGCAGCCTCAAGCTCCTGGACTCATGTGATCCTCCCGCCTCAGCCTCCCAAGTAGCTGGGACTACAGGCACACACCACCATGTCTGGCCTTATATGAGATATTTAAAAGACATATGTATAATATGGATAAGTAAAATATAAAAAATAAATATAACAAATATAGTTTCACCTCTTCAGATTTTTTTCCAGTTAATTGCTTTGGTTGTGTGTTTGTATTTGCATGTTAGCAGAGTAAAATATCCAAACCTGAACTTCATAAAAATTGGCTTGGAGTGAGTATCCACCAGTGACATTCATGATTATTTCAAGAGTAAGGACAGTGCCCACAGCTGGCGCTGACTGTCCCAGGACCTCATCTCCCTATACACGGCTCTCTAGCTGACACTAGGGTTCCCTGAAATCACTCCTTTCTCCAAACACAGTCACAAGGGTTCTCCCAAAGAGCGCCCAGCGAAGGTGTCTATCCAAGCATTGCTTGTGGTGGCAAGAAGCAGAAAACAACCCAAATGTCCAACACCAGGGATGGCTGAATAAACTCTCAGGAATCCACACTGAAACACTGTGCAGCTGTTGACAAAAATATCTCAGAACCGAATCTGTTACCTTGGAGAGATGCCCACAATGGACCATTAATAAGAAAAAGGAGTTACAGAGAAACATCTAAATAATATCATTTCTATCAAAACACATATTAATAAAAAACAGCGAGGACGATTATCAATGTTTTTCTTTGTATATGGTTTTGCTGTGCTAATTTTGTAATTTTAAAAGAAGAACCTAAGATACCATTTAAAAGCTTACAAGAAAGATGAACACCCATTACAAGGATGCTATCTAAAACTCACAGCAAGGAGCCCTTGGGTCTCACAAAGATGACCTGTGAACAGCAGTGAGAGAGCCGTCTCCTCTCATCCTAGCAAGGAGGTATGGAAGCAACACTAGCAGGCTGCTAAGCTGTAGACATGACACTTTATACCTGAAGACAGCTTTTTAAATGCTTTTATTACTTAAGGTTCTTCTAAAAAGTACAAGTGACTAATTCTTAATTCTTAATTCTCATTTCATTTCCTATAGGAATCATGAGAATACATCTGATACAATTTATACAAAAACTACACAAGATGATGCATCATTAGGTAAATAAATGGGAGCTTCAAGACTATTTGAAAGTGGGGAAACTATGCTGAGAAAAGAACTTGTTGCTGAACAGCACTACTCACCCCCGGCCCCGAAGTTGACGACGTACTGTGAGAAGAGGGCGTCCAGCTCGTCGTACTGCACCAGCGCATCCTCGAACTGCTGCAGCATCTCAAAGACAAAGGCAAGCTCCTCCTGTGCGCCCAAAGTAAGTTTGAGAAAAAGCAAAAACACAAATCAACATATTGAAACAATGTATAGACATTAAAGATTGCAATAGAGAAGAGCATGCAGCACTATGAATAACATTTATGCTATGCTAAGCAAAAATCGATTTGATGACCATAACACATCAACATTCATGCACGCACAAAGTGCAAACGACCACAATGATTTCCGAACACCCACCTTGACCTCTCAGCAGCACTGGACACAACTGGTCGCCCTCCTGTCCTTGGGATATTCCTTGCCGGGACACCTGGCCACCTGCATCTCCCCTTCCCCCTCCACGCTGCGGCTCCTTTTCCTCTGCCTGCTGGTTCCTCTTGTCCCCCAGGCTCTCCACTGGAGGCTCCAGGGCTCACCCTTGGACTTCTCTTTCTACACTCACTATTCCCTTTCAGTGATCTTACCCAACACACGGCTTTACATGCCGCCCACGATTACAATCACCAAATGCGTAACTGCACCACAGACCAGACTCCTGGCCCCAGCTGCGTGTTCAGCATCCTCACCTGGATACCTAGCAGTCACTGCAAGCTTGCAGGTCTCACCTGAACTCCAAGCCTCTCCCACGATTCATTCCCTCCACAGTCTTCCCTATGTCAGTCATGTCAGAGGGGGACCCAAAGTCCTTTCAGGGGTCCCCAGGCCCTGTCAGGTCTGCTTCCCCACCCCTTCCCAGCATCCTCTCTCTGACCCTGCTCACTCAGCTCCACCACCAAGGCCTCTGCCTCCTGCCCACACACACCGGGCACACAGCTGCTCGGGCCTTTGTACTGCTTCTTCTCGCAGCCTGGAGCATTTCTTTACTCTTCCCCCAAATATCCACACGGCCTGCTCTTCAACCGCCTTCAGTATCTGCCAAGTCACTGGCTCAGTGAGGCCATCCCTCAGCGCTTACTTAAAATGCCCCCCCATCACCAGCCCCACATCTCTGCTTCTTGGTACTTTCATCCTACCATCTGTACACCTTCCTTGCTTGTGTTCCCGCCACTGTAATGCAGCTCACGAAAACTGCTTACTGACACCATCCCAGTGCCTAGAAGGGTGTCTGGCACATGCTGGTACTCAGTGATATTTGTTGAACAAAAAAAAAATAAGGAGATGGTTACGGGTGATTTTTTCTTTTTCTTATTTCCATTATTGCACATGAAAAAGTAAAAACCAGGAGGGCACACACAAATGTACAAATCTACACCCTGACATAGTCCGGTATTTGGAATCCACCCACCTTGTGCATTTGTGGACGCATTTGTGGACGCTATTCTGTGACCCCATAAAGGCCCGAGTCCCCCTCACTGGTGAGAATCGAGAGCACAGACTGGACCCGTGGCCTGGTCCAGACCGGGAGGCCGGCGTGTCCCGGCCGTAACCGTGTTAACTGGGTAACCTGTGCCTCTCTGGATAGCAAAGCTCCCCTCACGTGAGGTTTCCACAAAACGTGTAGGAGAGCCCTGGCACGCAGGGAAGTAGGCAGTTCATGTCAGCTGTTATCCTCTCGTCAGCTGACATCCAGAGAGGCAGGGGAGAAACACCTGCGCTCTTCCCTACAGAGCCCCAGGACCGCTTCAAGCTCTTTTACATCTTGGTTCCCCTGAAAATATTGGTGGGCAGTGTTTTACAAGAGAACTTGCTAAATTACATTGAATGTTCTTGTCTTTATGAAGTATTTCAAGACTCCAATGAACTAATTTTTCCTTTTTAATTGTGATAAAATGTACATAGAATTGACCATCTTAACCATTTTTAAGGTTACAGTTTGGTAGCATTAAGTATGTGCACCTCATTGTGCAACCAATCTCCCAAACTTTCTCATCCTCCGAAGCTGAAACTCTGTCCTCACGGAACACTAACTCCCCATCCCCTCCTCCAGTCCCTGGCCCCACCGTCCTGCTTTCTTTCTCTATGCATCTGACCACTGCAGGGACCCCACGTGAGTGGAATCGCCCTTCTGTGACTGGCTTGTTTCACTTAGCACAATGTCCTCAAGGCCCATCCATGCTGTACTAACAGCATGGGTCAGGGTTTCCTCCCTCACTCATTTTTAATGCTGAGCTAACTTTACACTTACAGAAATATTGCCCCAAAAAAAAAAAAAAAAGTGTTGGCCAGGTACAGTGGCTTACACCTATAATCCTAGCACTCTGGGAGGCCAAGGCAGGAGGATCACTTGAGGTCAGGCGTTTGACACCAGCCTAAGCAAGAGTGATATCCCATCTCTACTAAAAACAGAAAAATTAGCCGGGCATGGTGGCACATGCCTGTAGTCCCAGCTACTCGGGAGGCTAAGGCAGGAGGAGTTTGAGGTTGCTGTGAGCTAGGCTGACGCCACGGCACTCTAGCCTGGACAACAGCGTTGAGACTCTGTCTCAAAAAAAAAAAAAAAAAGTACCAAGTTTCCATACAGCCCTTACTTAGCGTACTATAACATTAACAGGCACTCTAGCCTGGACAACAGCATGAGATTCTGTCTCAAAAAAAAAAAAAGTATTAAGTTTCCATACAGCCCTTACGTAGCATATTATAACATTAACAGATAACCATAGTACAATTATCAAAACCAGATAATTAATACTGGTACAATACTATTAACTAAACAATCCTTATCTGAATTTTAGCAGTTTTCCCACTAATGTCCTTTCTTCTATTCCAGGACACCCCCTCCCCGCAAGGACTCCCATCTCCTCCCACCCCCGCCCCACTGACTTTTTGCTTCCCTCCTATTTTGTCTTACATCCCTCCCTCTGGGCCCATTTGATATGTTTCCATGACTGCCATGAGAGTCTTCATTTTTTATGGAGAAAAGACGCTGTGTCCTCAGGGCACCTTTGTCAAGGAGCCCACGACGTGGGCATGACTTCTCACAGGTGCAGCTGGCCTTGAGCATCTGACGCAGGCAGCTAAGGACCTGGCTTCCCCACTGTGAAGTCACTACTGCTCCCTCTGCAGGTGACAGACATCTCGGGGAGACCGAAACTACGCAAACCCCCCTCTTCCCAGGCCTTGGCCCACCCCGTAGCCTCCATCAGTGGTCCTGTCTCCAATAGTTCTTGCTATGGTGTTTGCCTAAAAGTGGTTTTCTATTTTTCTTTCCTTCCACATTTATTAAGTGGAAGTCTTCTGTAGGGAAGAGCTGAAACTTCTCCTTCATTTACTTATTTAACTATTTATTTATGTCAATATAGAATCATGAGCATCAATTTTATTCCATGGGTTAAAACCCAACTCTGTCATTATTTATTCTGTCATTCAAATCAGTCTAGCTTTGGCCACTGAGGCTCCTTTGGGTGGTGCCTGTGTTCTTTCGATGGGCCCCATTTTTTTTGTGCACTTCCTTCCTTTCTGGTTCTACAAGATATTCCAGGTCCATCTTGTTTATTCCTGCACCAGCCTCATAACCAACCACTTCCACAAGGAGCCCTGGCTCCTCATATTGGAGAATGGAGGTTAGAGACCACGACCTTGGCACCAGGTGTGTTTCTTGCTGCTGGGATGTTGTTCTATGCCCTGTCAGTGGTCATGCGTACCGACCCTCACACATACACACGTCCATATTTCTGAATCTACCTATCCATCCACCCATTCATCCATCCCCCTATGGGTTGGTTCATACTGACACCTCAGATTCCAACCCAACAGCACTGGCCCAGGTGAGCTTGTTCCTGTCCTTGTTTGTAACTTCCAGGGACTAAAGCTCAATAAGCTTAAAGGGAGAAGAGACAGTGCAGCCAGAAAAGTCTGTGACCATCAACCACAGGGATTATTAACATACTCGAACCAGCTTCCATGTACCAAATCTTCCAAACGCCTCCAAGACATAAGCCTCAGAATAAGAAATAAAAATCAAATTCTAATCAGATGGACCTTTTATTTATTCAAAATGCATCATCCCTTCAGTAGTTAATACACAATTGATATCCAAATATGAAAATTATGCTTCTTCAGTCAAAAGATGGTGAACGAGGACAAGGAACCCTATGAACAATACCCTGCAGTGTTAGGAAGGCCTTTTATTATCCCATATCCCTCTGTTCACTTAAGACTTTTCTTTTAAAAAGGGAAAAAGAGCTGATTATAAACCAATTTTAAAAGCCTAAACATTTTTGTAAATTATAGTAAAGAAACCAGCTTAATAACTGGAACTCAAGGTTATAAAACAAAACTATGGCAGGAATGTTCCCAGGAAGCCATCATTCAATCATAGCGCCCAGCAGGGAGTGAATAAACACCTTTGTCATCAGGATCATCACCCGCTACTGGGGTGCCTCCGCATAATTCACTCCAAGGTAGATACCCCAGAAGGCACCTGAGATGCAAACAAAACCAAGACTCCCCTGAGGACAAGGCTATGTCAGGCCCGGCTGGATGCCTAGCTCTGGAGCAGCAGGGAGCTGGCGGGCTGTCCCCAGAGACCATCTCTGCTCTTCTGCTCTATGAGCCAAGAAACAGAAACGTCTACTCTGACTACTACATCGTAGTCTCTTGTCTTTAAAAACCATGCCAATGAGAATTACCACGAGAGTTGCGAAAGGAAGGAAGGAAGGAAGGAAGGAAGGGAGGGAGGGAGGGAGGGGGAGGAGAGGGGATGGGAGGGAATGGGGAAGGAAGGAAGAAAGGAAGGAAGGAAGGAAAGGAATGAAAGAAGGACAGAGGGAGGGAGGGAAGAAGGGAGGGAAGGAAGAAGGAAACCATCTAGTTCTATAATTCGTCAAGTACCTGAACCATGAAATATTCACAAAAGCTCCAGCCTGGCTCAGTCCTCTTCTCCCTCAAGGTCCTCATGTCATCCTCAAACTTGCCTAGGTTTTTGGTAAAAGACATAAGAAGCAATGTCCTGAGTTTGGTCAGGAAGGCATTCCAGGATTCCTGAGTTCGAGAAGAGTCCTTCAAGGGGTCGGAGAGCACAACACACCTGCAAAGACATGAACGGACTATCTGGAAAGATCCTCCACACACAGTGCCACTGTTCACTGCCCCCTTTGCCCGGGCACCAACTTAGTTCCTTCCTCCTCCCTCCTCTTTTCTTCCTTCTTTAAATAACAGGTGAAAACAGCCAGGGGTGGTGGCTCGGGCCTGTAATCCCAGCACTTTGGGAGGCTGATGTGGGAGCCAGGAGTTGAGGCCAGGAGTTCAAGACGAACGAGCAATATAATGGGACCCTGTCTCCACAAAAAATGGAAAGATTAGCCCGGCGTGGTGGAGCATGCCTGTAGTCCCAGATACTCAGGAGACTGAGGCAAGAGGATCGCTTCAGCCCGGGAGGTGGAAGCTGCAGTGAGCTAGGACCATGCCACTGCACTCCAGCCTGGATAACAGAGCAAGACCTTGTCTACCCCCAACCCCCAAAAACATAGTGAAACAAGTGAAAAGCATGCGGCAGGTGGTGAGGCACCAGTCTGGGAAGAGGCTTTGTCACAAACTGCTCTGTTGCCACATGAGCAGTAAGTGCTACAGAAGCCCCAAGGACAGCTTGCTGTAGACAGCCTGGGGCGGGGGCATTTATGAGCAGCTGGAGCCTCAGACCCACCCCCAGGTTCACTGTGAAATCAGGTGACCGCTCCCACTCAGTTCCCAGCCCTCGCTGGCCCTGTCCCCTTCAAAATCCCTTTGGGGTCCATGTGATCAACAGGGGAAATTCAGACTTCGCTGTACAGCACACAAGGACCATGACAACATGGACCCAACCTAGTTGTCTGGCTTTAATTTCCCCTATTCCCAGTCCAAGCCCACTAACTTCTCCTGCTCTCCCCTCTTTACCGAGCACATTCCTGTTCACCCAGATGCTACACTGTCACGGAACTTCTCCCCACCACCACCCCGGCTGCTCTGCCCTCCCGGCCCCACTGTGATCACGCTGCTGCCAGCTGAGGGCCTTGTGGTAAAGCTCCTTCCCTCTCTGTAGGTCTGCCTCTCCCACCAGCCTGGAGTCCTTCAAGGGCAGGGTGAGTAAGCGACTAATAGATAAAGGCTCAGCACACAACATACAGCTCTGACACAATTTAGCTACAAAGACACTGTACCCATGGTGTAAAAATATCAAAGACACAAAATTACAAGAAAGTAAAGGCAATGTACTCATCCAATAGTTGGAAATAGTAACTGTCTTTAGCGTTGGCAATTGTACTTTAGAAGGAAGAGGAATAAATCTGAACTCAGAAATAACTTTAAAATACTAATACTATGAGCTTCAACATTGTCCTTAGTAAATATTTTACCTGGATTCCCAAAAAGTAGCAAAATAAACTGATTCTAAGTTTGATTTTCTGTGCCCAGCATGTCCTTTGGAGGGACAACTAAATCCACAGAATTACAAATCAGTGCACAAAAAGGTGAAGCAGAACACACTCTACATGTCCTACCACGTGACCAATCAGAACCAAGAACAAAACAAAAACTGGTAGCTGTCTTTAATTCCAGTCAACCCACCCCACTGGACACTTTCTTCCCTGAAAGACAAAGGGACCAGAGCCAGCTCACTCCTAAGGTCCCCAGGACTGACGTGGATTTATCCGCTGTATAAGCTGCTACAATCTATCCATTTGGTGGTTTGTCCTTGGGCATTCTCAAGGGCTGTAATTACTGACGTTCGTTCCTGACAGATGTGAGTTCTCCCACGCACCTGCAGGAGGATGGAAATGGGAACTACACAAACACTAACCACCAAACAAGATTCCTCGTGTCATCAATCAGACCCAATATCGTCACTCTGTTCTCCACCCTTGTTATGCCCTTCAACTTGCACTGCTTTTAGACCATCATCACCTACTTTTTTAAATTAAACAGAACAGTGCTTCAGAAATCACATCAAGCCTCGATGGTTCACTCAGAAAAGGAGAGCCCAAAGCTACTAATAAGGTCAAGGACAGGGGTGGAGGTGCCCGATCTGAAGAGCGGCACCGTGTTCCGAGGTGCAGATGGCACGGCCACCCTGAACAGCTGCTCACAGAGGCCCACGTGGGACAAGGAGCTCCAGCCTGGAAGCCGGGAGCACTACCAGGACTGCTACCGGCACAACTACTCACAAGCCAACCCTCACCCTTGGCCTTGTTTACCAAAAGCCTAAAGAATGCACAAAACCTTTTACCAAGCAATTTTCCTTTAAGGAATTTATCCCGAAATAATCAAAGATGCTTACAACATTTGAGCTAGAAAGATGTTCATAATATTATTGTTTACAATGATAAGTAAGCAATAACTTATAAGCCCAGCAGAGGATGTATAAATAACTATGGTAAATTAATACTGTGGAATAGTATATATTCACCAACAATGAGGGTACAGAAATATTAACATGTTTATTGCTTGTGAAAAATTTTTACAATATATTAAGTGAAAAAGCAAATAGAAAATATGCACAGTATGATATCACTTTAAAATACACAAACACACATACGTGTGTGTATGTATGCATACTGAAAAAAAAGTCTGGAAAGATAATACCAAAATATTAAGAGTTAATATCCTTTTTTTTTTTTTGCTCATTAACCTTTTTCTAATAATTCTATAATGAACATGCAATACATATAATCTGAATTAAACACAAGCGTAAAGTTAAAAAAAAATAGTAAGGCTCTTTAGGGCCAAGCATTACAATATTTTCAAAGGCCAGAAATTATACTGTGTAATAAAACAATTGTCAATACAGACTCTACTAAATTCAAATTTATGAAAATAGACCAAGCTTTTTACATTAAAAAAATATAGATTTGTTAAAAGGTGGTTTTGCAAATTAATGAAAATTGAAATAGGAGAAGGCATATTTAAACCCACTGAAGATGAAACATGAAAAATTGTATTCAGTTAAATTTTATGTATAAAGAAGTTATTAAAAACCAAGTTAGTTTTAAATGGGCTCAGCAGAAGCATATTTTTACAAATTAGATAAAGACTGCAAATACAGAATTAAAAGTCATCAATTGGTACTTTGTAAAAATGATTATACAATTTGAACACTTCATAAGCTGAGACTAATACACCTCATCAGTACCAATTTATTTAATTAATACAATCTCAAACAAATATAATTTCTTTTGTTATATTAACAAAAACCTCAGAGGCCACTTGGCTTTGATTTTGTCCCTGCCTCCCCGTTCCACCAGTCAACGTTGGCCTCGTCTCCCTTACACTGTGTAACGGAGCTCTTTTCCTTCTAAGCTTTACCACAGTCTACTCTTTTCAAAACAAAAAACTGTTGGTATTTATACAATACTGAGGGAAAGGATGCTCAATCATGTATAGTATCTTGTTAACATGTTAAGCTAGTTCCTTTTGGTTAACTAATTTATGAATAACACACCTTAAGAAGAAGTTTCCACAAGTACAGATTGCATGAGATTTCTCGAAGATATGACATAAGCTCAACAATCTAATTATTTAATTCAAACTATAAATAAAGCTAGTTTGACCATTACTACTTGCCCAGTACTGTGTGGAACATGAAAAAGGCACCCAGCTATGGCTCCTTCCCCTGAAGAAGCGTCAACTCAGCGGGGTGGCCCTCTGCACGTCCAGGACTGCCCTCCGGCGCCCTCCCTACCCCCACACACCACTTACTTCTTAGCCGCCCACTGTGTTCCAGCTGCCTAACTGCAGGCTCTAGCAGCACTCTGGAACCTTCCCATCTGCCCTTTGCCACCATGGTGACCATGGGTATGATGACCTGCTGGGCCAAAGCAGGGTCCAGGTTCCCACTGCACCCCCAGGACCTGGGTGTGTTCAAGTGCTGAATGGTGCGACAGGGACCATCAGTTACACAGGAGTTAATACACCGGCTGGCGCCATTAGGAACAGCATCACTGAAGAAAAAGGAGGTGAGCTATGCCCAGAAGAGAGCAGGATGCAAGGGAAAGAAAGCCCATGCAATTAACTTAATAAACTAACCACCAAACTTTCGGGACTCCCTTTAAAGTTTCTGAAGGGATTAAGCCAACATTTTATAACTTCTGTTCTTAGGAATCTTAAAAAAAAAAAAAACCAAAAACTCACAGGGTTCCATAGTTAAAAAAAAGTTTAAGGCACCCTGTTCTACACAGGACCACAAGACCTCTCTTTGTCACTCTTCAGAAAGGACCTGCCGTGTGGTCTTCCCCGGGTTACTGCACCCATGAGACCCCTCCCAGGTAGCACCCTGGGGGACTCCTGCCTGCAGTCCTTGGCCTGCCAGAATGGGAACTCCACGAAGACAGGGACCAGAGCTCTTATGAGCACCCCATGGTCACTCACTGGAGATTGCTGAGTGAATATTCATCATCACCCAGGAAGCCAGCACTCTGTATCACCCAGATACCAACCAAACGAGGCAAAATTAAAGACACTTACCTGTCACTCTGTTTATTACAAAAATCATTTCTTATTTTGTCCACAATAGAAGTTCGGGGAAGGATGTTGGTTTTGTTTTTTTTCTTGGCATCATTTTCAACTACCACTATTAACCAGTCCACAGAGCTATGAGCTTTCAGAACATTCTGCCACTTGGTGAGGTCATCTTTTACTGTAGCTTTATACACTTCAGTATCCTAAAAATAAATAAGTCACTGTAAGCAAGTTAAGCAATGCCCTTTGGTGTATATGGCAAAATGTGTCTAATAACACAGTTCAATGGCCACAATGTTTTAAGGCACCAGGACAGCTTTGGGGCACGAGCTGGATGAAAAGCCCAGTAGCCAACTAAGCCTGCGCTGCTCCGTGCAGACGCCACACCACGCCATGCACTCGGCTCTCTGCAAGGCCCCGGGAACTGCTCCAACCGTGAACCCACGAAGGCCACGTGAGAGGCAAGGCAGCTTCAGCTGTGACCGCGGGAAGAAGGCAAGCCAGGCTTCCCTGGTGATGATCTAATTCACAGGACTCGACAGGGAGTGCACCGTCCTTTAAACCCATCCTGTTTCTCACTTAGAGTCCCAAATCCAAGCCTGCCAGAGAAAGCATCCCTCTCACATGGACGCAAACGAGTGCAGCTCAGTCCTCGTCCAACAAGAACTGGGAAAACAGACATTTCCCTTGGTATTTGTAACTTTCTTTATAACTGTGCTTATGCTCCGTAAATCCACTCAGATTCTAACTCCATTTAGATTCAGAAAATCTAAAACCAAGTCACTTAATTAGGCACTGAGAAAACTTCGGACAATAATGAAGAGCTGCTGTTTAAATACATACTTTCCCCTCTTGCGACTGTTCCTCCTTACTGTCCGGCCCTTATTTCTTTGGATTTTTCAGTCACTCTTGAGTAACAGTCAGGCAGACATATGCTAATCTGAGAGACCCACAGATGAGTTACATCTTAAATTCTGCATTTTGGTTTAATTCACTAAATAGAAAGTTCCAAAAGGCAGTAATTATCATTTATATCCTGATTTTTGAAGCTGTTATATCCTGATTTAAATTACAAATACAATCTGAAAAGAACTTTTACTTAAAACGTGAGAGAAGAACCATCTTGCAAAAACCAATTTTCTGCAAATAAATATCCAACAGTAACCCAATTATATAGTGCATATTTTGCACAAAATTCAGTTTTTAGGACAAGCATAGACTCTGCAATGCTGGTGTCCTGCTGCTTCTCCGAGAGCCCCACGTGCACCATGCCTGCAAGTGGAAACCGAAAGGCCAGCATGGCCCACAGCCTCAACTCCAGCAGCTTTGAAAGCCAAGAGCAGCTACAGGGCACCTGCTGCACCTGGCCCACGCGGTCATGGGGTGAGCTCCCCGGGAGCTGGTGAACACTTCCCTGGCCATTACAAGGCCGCCAGGCACCCCCTACCCAGACCCCTGCCTGCCCCCACCCCAGGAGAAGAGTCTTGGCGCAGGCTCTCCACACCAGGGAGGGGCTGCCGCACCCCAAGGGGACACCCATGCAGCTCTACTCGGCCAGTTTGCAGGAACTCTTCAGAAGATACCTCCCAGAGCAGAGGGAACACAGACGCTCCATACAACTCTGAGGGCAATCAGTTGACACTGTCCAGCCATCACTCACCACCATAAGCCAACAATGCAACATGATGAAAACGACTCCACAACTCTTAAGGAGACCAGGCCGCACCAGTGAAGCTAATGCTAATGGTCTCGAATGAAAACGAAGCTAATACAGGAAAAACCCGTGAGCAGGGAGGAGTGACACAGGGAGGACCGGACAGCTGACCCGGAGGAGAAGGTGCCCACAAGGGGAGCAGCAGCCCAGGGAAAGGCATCGAGGCCCACATGGGACAGGGAGGGCATCCACGTGGGAGGCAGGCGTCCCGGGTAAGAGCCTGGCAAGGTAAGGAGGGTGTCCGGGTGATGGCAGAAGGAACAGCACAAGATGTGGGACCCCAAGTGGGAGGATGAAGGATTTTGGGGGCTGGCACAGGGTGTCAGAGGCCAAGCAGGGCAGAGAGGGTGCCCTCTAAGACCCTCCCTCATGAGGTGAGGTGATGAGGAAGCCTGTGCCGTGAGGGGAACGACCAGCACAGAGTTGTCAGCCAAGTGCAGGAATGAGACATCCTCCTGTTGGAAGCAGGGTGGCAGTGACAGCAGAACAGCCACTGGAGGAGGATCATCCCCATCAGCAAACAGACAGGGAAGGAGTGGCTGGCTCCTCCTTGTCAGAGAACAGAGTTACGAATACGGAAAGAGAAGAAACTAGAACTAACCTTGTAGTGCGGACTGGAACTGGGTTGTGTGTGTATTTGTGTGTATGTACGTACGGAAATACACACAGATGTAAATGTGTGCATGTGACGTGTGTGAGTACACTGTCTAGCTATGCCCACTACGAGCTCACTGGCAAGGAGCATACCCAGCTCTAGATCTTGGTTTCTAAATACAATTTGCCACTGACAGGAACCCAGTCCCCCAAACGGCTGACCCCAGGGCTGAGGCAAGGGGAGGACAAGTGAACCTGGAACGTCTTGTGTCTGAGAATGCTCAAAGAATAAGTACATCTCAGGTCACAGAGGTCAAATCTGGAATGACCTGAGCATCAATATTAGGTATTAATATTAATACTATGATAGTAACAGATCTACAACCCAGAGAGGATTTGGTGGGGACAGCAGTCTCTGTGCCACCTGGAATCAGCTGCAGCGCTTTAAGCCTGGGAGCTAGATGGTCTCCGCTGGGACAGGGGCTCAATACCTCAAGGCAGCCTTCCCAAGGAGAAGGCTTCCTCACAGCATGGTGGCTGGGTTCTTAGAACAAGCATCCCCAAAGAATCCTTCTTGGCAAAAGATGAATAACCTTTTATGATTTAGTCTCGAATATCACAGTGTTACTTCTACCACAGGCGGAGGCCCGCCCAGATTCAATTGTAGAAAACTCAGACCCAGCCTCTCACAGAAAAGTCTCTGTCATGTAGAAAGGAGCATGGGGACAGGACAAGTTAGAACAGCTGTCTTCAGAAAACAATCTGCACACTTGACATATGGAAGAGAAAGTGTACACTAACCAAGAGGCTTATTTTAAAAGAGCAGATATCAATATACATCATAAAAATGTAATAATTACAAGTCTGATTCTGGCACAGAATAGACAATGATCAGTAGAACTGAAATGTCCAGAATATCATGCATATAGGATGTTGGTTTAAAATAAAGGTCATATTTCCAATAAGTGGAGAAAAGACAGACTATTATGAAATAGTGCTAGGCATTTAGATGGTAAAATTAGACCCTCAATCTCCACAGTTCCTACCTACATAAAAATATCTTGAAGCTAAACAGGTACAAATATAAGATGCAAATTATAAAATTATTAAAAGAAAATAGAAGAGATAATCAGTTATCTTCAGATAGACAAGGCTTTCCTAAGCAAGATACATTACCCAGACACCATTTTTAAATGACATATTTCACTCCATAAAAATTACAATAGTTATAAATATCTACACACCAAATAGCACATCAACCACCTACACAAAACAGGAACTACAGAAGATGCAAGAGAAATAAAAAACACACCCATAATAGACTTCACCATATAACTGTCAGTTAAAGATAGGCCAAAAGGACAAAAAGTAAAATCTAAGTGACCTAACCAACACAATCAGTAAAATAGATCTTGTGGATAAATGTTTAACATTACAATCTGGAAATAAAATACATTTTCAAACACATATGGAATATCCACAAAAATTAATCATTTATTACGTCACAGAGAAAAAATAAGTTTTATAAAGCAGAAATACTATAAACGCTT